TTAAAATATTTAATATCTAAAAAATACGATATTTCACACCAATAAAATGGAACAAATAAAATGGGAGGAAGAAAGTATCATTAGAAGAGTCAAAACTTAAATAAAAAAAATATCATCATATATACAAGCACACATATACATACACAATAAGATATGTAGGTGTTATATATATATATATATAAATCAATAAATAAATATTAGGGTTAATCATAAAAAAAAACTTCAACATTTCATTCGTTTTTTATTTCTCAGTATTTTCACTTTAAATTTCAAAACAATTCTACATTACTTTACACAGACGAAGATGGACAGAAAAGACACATTAAAATACAAATAGAACTCTAAAATTTAATTTGTCAAAATTAAAATACTAAAATTAAAAATGAAAAGCGTGTAAAATCTAAGGTTATTTTCGTAATTAACCGTTTTTTCTTATGCTTTTTGATGTTTACAAACATAACATCAATATTCCGATAAAAAAAAAAGAAAAAGAAACATAACATCAATACGAAGTGTCAAAATAAGGTGCAATTGAATTATAATGGTGAGTCTCACACGTGAAGAAGAAAGTAGTGACAAAGTAATTAGTAATTAAAAAAAAATTAAAAAAAAGTAAAAAAAGCATTAAGCTAGTCTCTCTCTTAAAAATCATAGCAATGGTGTCTATTTTATTTGTGGGACTGCTAAAATTTAATTTGTCAAAATTGAAATACTAAAATTAAAAATGAAAAGCGTGTAAAATCTAAGGTTATTTTCGTAATTAACCATTTTTTCTTATGCTTTTTGATGTTTACAAACATAACATCAATACGAAGTGTCAAAATAAGGTGCAATTGAATTATAATGGTGAGTCTCACACGTGAAGAAGAAAGTAGTGACAAAGTAATTAGTAATTAAAAAAAAATTAAAAAAAAGTAAAAAAAGCATTAAGCTAGTCTCTCTCTTAAAAATCATAGCAATGGTGTCTATTTTATTTGTGGGACTGGCTTCTCACTAGTTTTAGATTGGACTGGAGGGTACTGTTGGACCCGTGAGGACCCATTACAAGTCTCATTTCGATAATTCGAACCGTTCAATGTGTAGAAATCGTCGAGTACTATATGTTTATAAAAAATCACGTTGATCGGATATCGAGAGCTATTTTATCGGATCAAATTTTTGTCAACCGTTTATTTTTTTACCGTCCATTTTATTTTATACAAAACTGATTTGATCATGTAGTTATCAATATCTAATCAATGTGATTTTTTATAAAAAATAATATTCGATGAGTTCTACACATTGAACGGTTCGGATTATTGAAATGAGACTCTTGGGGACCCCCCTAAGGCCCAATAGTACCCTCCAGTCCGATCTGAGACTGGAGGGAAGACCGACACTTTATTTGTGGCCCATAACCTTTCTTTGTAGTTTCTCAGTCATTTTCTTTATATTTCACTAGCAAATTCTCTAGTTTGAAAAATAAATAAATTATATTTTCAGACAATTAACTTTAATATAAGGAGAGTAATGACAAAGCAATTACCAATAAATACAAAAAAAAAAGAAGTCTCTTCCCAGAATCATAGCAATGGTATCTATTTTATATGTGGCTCATAACCTTTCTTTGCAATTTCTCAATCATCTCTCTACATTTCACAGGCAAATTCTCAAGTTCGGAAAAAAATCTATATTTTCAGATAATAAACTTTAGAGGGAGAGTAGATCTAATAATAGTTAAGATTTTTGTTAAGTTAATATAAAAAAAAAAAAGTCTGATTATATTTTTGTTTTCAATTATGTTGATAAAGAATATTAAATTAATACTAATTATTCACTTTTTTGTGTTGGCATAAATTAAAATTTTAAATTTTACAGTACTTGTTTTCGATGAAAAGTTATTTGTATTTTTATCCCCTAAAGTTTGAATTCTGGATCTGTTCCTGATTAAAGACCCTGTTAAATAATTAGACCTTTTTAGCATTTTTGTTTGGTAAAAAAAAAAAAGAAAAGAAAAGATAATTGAAACTTGACATGAAAATTTTGTTTGATAAACTGTTTTTGATAATTACTTTTGGGAACAATCCTTTTTTATAGTGAAATTAAAAGATTCTTTCAATAAAAAATATGTAAACATTCCACACTTTCTTATTTTGAAAATACAAAATCATTTGATAAAAAATTTGACAATTTTGACAGTTTTTTCCACAAAGATTAATACGAAACTCATCTACAAAAATTACATAGAGAAAGAGGGAGGGAGAAACATTTTATTCACAAAAATGAGTAATTGGCATGATGCTTGTGTGTGATATGAGAAAAGCCTCATGAACACCAAACAAACACCATCACTCATTACATATTACAATAAGAAAATAAACAAGTGCAAATTTTAACCACTAATTTTTATAGTTTCGTTTTAGTGTCATTTTGATCTTTGTCATTTTAATTGATTCAATTTCAATCTTAATTTTTTTATTTTTTCAATTTAACCTAATTGATTGCAATCTTTAAGTTCTTTTTTTTTTAAAAAAAAATTTATGAAAAGTGTACACATAAATAGCATGAGTTACGCTTTTAAGAACAAAATTGTAAATTTTCTTAACTAAGTGAGTTAATCTCAATCATCTCATTAACGATTTTACTTCAAAAATACTAATTGACATTATTAATTGAATCAAATTAATACAAAATTTAAAATTAAAATCAATATTAAATCAATTAAAAATGTGAGAATCAAAATGATATACAAAAACTCCCAATTTAATTTACCCAATAAACATTACCACTTTTCCTATCTTGATTCTAGGGAAAATCCAACAAGGCCACCGGTTGGCAAGCTATCAACTTGCAACCTAACACAAGAAAATAAAACAAACAACAAAATCAAATCAAGGCTTAAAAAAAAAACCAAAACAAAAAAAAAAATTTATGATGAAAAAGAATATTTTTTTTATGATTGTCAGACAAATCTTCACAAAAATAATAAAAAATAAAAAATTTAGTTCTCGATTTGTATTGAAGAGTGATGTTCAGACTCATGAAATTCTCTATAAGTTTTATTCTGATAATCTAAGCTGTTTGATATAGTGAATATATTATTCCGGTGATCTTTATAATTAATTTTAAATTTCACTTTAATTTCTTTTTTATTTTACTCATAGTATTTTTTTCATTTTAAATTCAATAATAATAAAGAAAAAAATCACATTTCAACACAAAAAAAAAAAATTATGAACCAAAACCCAAAACTTGTGAGTGTTTGGGAAGTTGGTTTTTATGTAGGTTTTTTTAGTTGTAGGATATTATTGGATAAAAAAACTTTAGTGTTTGAAAAGATAGTTGGGTTTTTTTGTGGTTAGATGTAATGTTTGTAAAAGAAAAAGTGAAATGATTATGGGATTGGATGTGATATTTTATTTAGAGTATTTTTTTGGTTTCACAAAACTTGCCTTTTAGTGAAAAAAAGGAAAAAAAAATTTGGGAACCAAGTTCCCAAACACCATTCACTACAAGAGCATTAAGCATGTGCTTAGATGAACACCTAATGGAATTTAGTAAGTCACATTTATGTAATATGCTTTTTAAGCATGTGCTTCAACTATGAGCATCTCATATTTGCCTCTTTGGATCAAAACTCATTCACAAAAGGTTTAAAAGAACAAAAATTGCGGGTTAAAAATATTAATGTTTTTCACTTTCAGAGATGGAAAATTGGCAACTACATTGCTCGAGGCAAAATGTAATATGAAAACTAGTCTTACCTTTCATGATATGCATATAACAAACTCACTGCTACTATCAGCTCCATGATGGAAAAACTTCTAAGCCACCCTCTAGTAACTGAGAAAAACCATGATAGAGATATGAATTCATTTAAAAGAATATTAACAAATGTAATTGGGTTCTTTCTACTAACAATAATATAATATTTGGGTTCTTTTATTTTGAGTATTTTATATAATATTTGGGTTCTTTTATTTTGAGTATTTTATATAATATTTGGGTTCTTTTATTTTGAGTATTTTATATAATATTTGGGTTCTTTTATTTTGAGTATTTTATATAATATTTGGGTTCTTTTATTTTGAGTATTTTATATAATATTTGGGTTCTTTTATTTTGAGTATTTTATATAATATTTGGGTTCTTTTATTTTGAGTATTTTATATAATATTTGGGTTCTTTTATTTTGAGTATTTTATATAATATTTGGGTTCTTTTATTTTGAGTATTTTATATAATATTTGGGTTCTTTTATTTTGAGTATTTTATATAATATTTGGGTTCTTTTATTTTGAGTATTTTATATAATATTTGGGTTCTTTTATTTTGAGTATTTTATATAATATTTGGGTTCTTTTATTTTGAGTATTTTATATAATATTTGGGTTCTTTTATTTTGAGTATTTTATATAATATTTGGGTTCTTTTATTTTGAGTATTTTATATAATATTTGGGTTCTTTTATTTTGAGTATTTTATATAATATTTGGGTTCTTTTATTTTGAGTATTTTATATAATATTTGGGTTCTTTTATTTTGAGTATTTTATATAATATTTGGGTTCTTTTATTTTGAGTATTTTATATAATATTTGGGTTCTTTTATTTTGAGTATTTTATATAATATTTGGGTTCTTTTATTTTGAGTATTTTATATAATATTTGGGTTCTTTTATTTTGAGTATTTTATATAATATTTGGGTTCTTTTATTTTGAGTATTTTATATAATATTTGGGTTCTTTTATTTTGAGTATTTTATATAATATTTGGGTTCTTTTATTTTGAGTATTTTATATAATATTTGGGTTCTTTTATTTTGAGTATTTTATATAATATTTGGGTTCTTTTATTTTGAGTATTTTATATAATATTTGGGTTCTTTTATTTTGAGTATTTTATATAATATTTGGGTTCTTTTATTTTGAGTATTTTATATAATATTTGGGTTCTTTTATTTTGAGTATTTTATATAATATTTGGGTTCTTTTATTTTGAGTATTTTATATAATATTTGGGTTCTTTTATTTTGAGTATTTTATTTTTATTTTTAATTTACACGTTGTTTTCACAGAGGACAGGGGGCCAATGAAAGGAGACTCACTTTTGACTTCTTTGCAGCCCAATAATTTCTTCTTCTCATCACAAAAATATAGCCAATTTTGAGACTGCTAAAGCCTTTTCCACTGAACCTCTTTGCTTTGCTTTGCTTTGCTTCTGATCTGTTGGTTTTTTCTTTTCTTTCTGTAATCGGAAACAATGCCTATAGAAGGGATCTTTGTCTCTGGCTTCGTCAATTTGTTGTTTGGGAAGATGACCTCTTTTGCCTCCTCGAAATTACCAACCTTTGAAGGAATTGATACCCAGCTGACCAATTGGACCAATATGCTGTCTCAAATTGAAGCTTTTCTGATTGACGCGGAGGAGAAGCAACTGACAGATCGAGCCGTGAACCTGTGGCTCGACGATCTCGAGGATCTAGCATATGATTTGGATGATTTAGTGGATGAGTTCGCCACCGAAGCTTTGCAACACAAGCTCAAGGCAAAGCCGCCCCAAGCTAGTTCGAGCAAGGTATGGAACCTCATCCCTCATTTCAAGCCAAGAGATGTTATGTTTAATTTCAAAATGAAGTCCAAGATTGAGGAGATCAATACCAGATTGCACAATAGTTTTCAACAATGTTCGAAACTTAATTTGGTAAAGATTAGTGTTGGAACCACATCTCTTGAGACTCGGCCAACTCGAGAATCTGCATCTTTACCTAAAGGTCCCATTTATGGTAGAGAGAAGGATCAAAGAAAGATAGTTGAGTTGCTCCTAGGTAGGGATGAATCAAGTCGTAACCACCCTGAAGTAATTTCCATTACGGGTATGGGTGGGGTGGGTAAGACCACCCTGGCTCAGATGGTATTCCGCGATGAAACTGTGAAGGAGCATTTCGATCCGAAAGTCTGGATTTGGGTGTCAGATCACTTTGATGTTATGAGAATAACAAAAGTAATTCTTGAGTCTGTGACTCAACGGACATGCGATTATACTACTTTGGAACAAGTGAAAGCTAAACTAAATCAGGCTTTGGCTGGAAAGAAGTTCCTAATTGTTTTAGATGATGTCTGGAGCAAAAAATACAGTGATTGGGAAGATTTAAAGACCCCTTTCAGTAATGGAGCCCAAGGGAGTAAAATCGTGGTGACAACACGTTACGAGGACGTTGCAACAATGATGGGAAGTGTTGAACTTCAAAAGGTTGGGTGCCTATTGTACGAGGATTGTTGGTTATTGTTTAAACAACTTGTCTTTGAGAATCGTATTGATGCAAATCCAAATTTGGTATCAATTGGCGAGAAAATTGTGGAGAAATGTAAAGGTTTGCCTCTAGCTATTAAGACACTCGGTGGCGTTTTAAAGTCCAAACTACAAGAGGAGTCCAAACTACAAGAGAAGTACTGGAAAGATGTATTGCAGAATGAAATATGGGAATTATCGGAGGACGAAAATGACATCCTCCCTGCTTTGAGATTAAGCTACCATCATCTCCCTCCGCATTTGAAGCAGTGCTTTGCATATTGCTCAATAATACCCAAGGGCTATGAATTTGAGGAAGAGGAGCTAGTCTTGTTGTGGATGGCGGAGGGCTTCATTCAGCAACAAAGAGAGAAACAAATGGAAGACGAAGGAGGCAAGTACTTTCGAGAATTGTTGTCACGGTCTTTTTTCCAACCATTAAGTACTGGTAAAAGCTCTAAATTTGTGATGCACGACCTCATCAATGATTTGGCTCAAGTAGTTGCAAGACATACTTGTTTTAGATTGGATGATAGATTGAAATATCAGGAACAGTGCAAAAATATAAAGAAAGCTCGACATTCATCTTACATGCAGGAGTACTATGAGGGTATGAAAAAATTTGAGATCTTTGACAAAGCCATGCATTTACGGACCTTCTTACCATTTTCCTTAGAATCTTATTTATTAGGGTTTAGTTTGGCAAGCAATGTTCCCCGTAAGCTATTCCGGAAGCTAAGACGCTTAAGGGTGCTCAATATGAGTAGATATTTCATCACAGAAGTTCCAAATTCTGTTGGAGATTTGAAACATCTGCGGTATCTTAACCTATCCCACACCTCCATTGGAGAATTACCTGAATCACTAGGCTCTCTTTACAATCTACAAACATTGATGTTAAGAGAATGTAGAAGACTGAAAAAGTTGCCAACAAACTTGGGAAACCTAATTGATCTACGTCATCTCGATACTACAAATGCATATTCCTTGAAAGAAATGCCACTGGGAATAGGTAAGTTGGCTAGTCTTCAAACACTGTCCAATTTCATTGTTACTAAAAACAATGGGCTTGGGATAAGAGAGTTGGGGAACTTAATTTATCTTCGGGGGAAGCTTTGCCTATCTGGGTTACAAAACGTGGTGGTTCCATTAGATTCAAGGGAGGCGAATTTAAATGATAAGGAGGGTTTAGATGTGTTATCAATGGAATGGAGCGTTAATTCAGATGATTCACGAGATGGAACAGTTAAAACAGAAGTGCTTGACATGCTGCAACCTCACAAGAATTTAACAGAGCTCCATATCAAAGGCTACCTTGGTACAGGATTTCCGACTTGGATAGGAGATCCTCTGTTCTCCAATATGGCTTACGTAAGTTTAGAAAATTGTGAAAATTGTGCATCCTTGCCACCACTTGGACAACTAGCCTCCCTCAAAAAGCTTTACATTAAAAGAATGAGTGTACTAAAGCATGTTGGTCGTGAGTTTTATGGGCAGGGTGGTGCCAAACCTTTTCAATTATTGGAGACTCTAAGCTTTAAGGATATGCCAGAATGGGAGTATTGGTATACTTTTGAAGATGATAAGGAAGTTCAACCATTTACTCATGTTAGTGAGCTCTCCATCGAAAATTGTCCTAATCTTGTTGGAATGCTGCCAAGTGATCTACCTTGTTTGAATAATCTAGAGATTAGGGACAGCCCCAAACTCTGTGGGGTGATGCCCAAGGATCTACATTATTTGAATAATCTAGAGATTTCAGAGTGCCCACAATTCCTAGTTGAAAGTTCCAGCAATAGCCTCCTGTCACTCACCTCGATAGCTATGGATGACGTTCCTCTAACAAGCCTTGAAGCGGTCCTTGAGATGAGGAGTATGGTTGATGAGGAAGTGATATCGGCAAATGCAAAGTCTAAGCATCCGAGTTCAATAACTTCCTTGAGCATTGGGATGATTAAAAAACTCGAGCTCTTGCCGAAATGGGTTACTCATGGGCTGATGGAAGTCGAGGAATTGAAGATTAGAAGGTGTGAAAAACTCAAGACACTGTGGAAGAATGAGGCGAGAGTGCAACAGAGCTTCCCTGCATTCCGACGTTTAAACATTGAAGACTGCCCCCAGCTAGTTTCATTGTTTGAAGAAAATGAGGATGAAGAAAATGAAGGGCAACATCAGCAACAACAACAAGAGGGACTGTCTTGCAAAGTGAGGCTTGAGCATCTAACAATATATAATTGTGAAAAGCTGGAGAAACTGCCACGGCTGCTACATACCTTCACTTTTCTTCAAGAGTTGTATGTCTCTGTGTGTCCAAGTCTCTGCTCTTTTCCGGAGACAGGTTTTCCGTGCACGCTGAAAACACTCCACATAAGTTATTGTGAGGCTCTGCAATCCTTATTCGGGTGGATAACGCAGATTAATGACAATAATCTTGAAGTGTTATGTGTTCAGGATTGTCCATCCCTCACATGCTTGATATCGTGCAGAGGTGGGGGGCTACCACCCACACTCAAAGAGCTTTGGATTCGGCAGTGTAAAAAGTTGGAGGCACTGCTAGTAGAGGAGGGGATGGAAATTAACTGTCCATCTCTTGAGTCTGTTTGGATCTGGTGTTGTGATAGGCTGAAATACTTGCCAGATGCCCTTCCTAATAATAATAATCTCAGGAATCTCAGTCGATTGTACTTCTATGGGTGTAAGAATTTGGAGTACATTCCGGAAGGATGGTTACACTCTGCAACAAATCTGAGAGAATTGAATATCATGGGATGCAAAAAACTGAAGGCCCTACCACACGGATTGCAGAGCATCAACTACCTCACTTCTCTTGAAGAGCTGGAGATGGATATTTCACAATGGAACAACAACTTCAAGAAGATTGGTTTGCACAGTTTATCCTCTCTTAAAAAACTGTTGATTTCAGGGGAAGAAGAAGAAGAAGAACATCCGGTGGGTTCCAGCTTTCCGATAGATGGGAAGTTGCTGCCCACCTCTCTTATCTATCTTCGCATCCACTTTTTCCGAAATCTGGAGAAGCTATCTTCTAAGTTGTTTCAAAACCTCGCCTCCCTTGAATGTCTTCGTATCGGGGATTGCCCTAGGCTCAAATCTTTACCAGTGCAAAGGCTGCCTCCCTCACTTAATCAATTGTGGATCTCGATTTGTCCGAGACTAACAGGGAAGTGTGAAAAGGGGAAAGGCAAATATTGGCCCCACTTAGCTCACATTCCTGACGTCAACATCAACTGAGTGATCAACTCTGTGGAGATTCCACCGCAATACAAGCAGTCAAATTGCCAGGTATCAAAATAGAAACTAATTTGATAAATATAAACATTTAAAAATTATTTTCAGATTTTAAAAACAAAATATTTTTTCAAAAAGTGGAAAATTATAATGAAAAAAATATGTTAAATTTAAATTTGGAGGACCATTATGGGATGAGTAAATAATTTTTTAAATTTTGGTTGGTTTTGGAGGTTTCAAAAATAGTTTTAAATTTTTAATTCGTATTTTTTTAATATATTGACTAATTTATTTTATTTTTTAAATACATCTAATCTGCATATATTTTTAAAAAATTTAAAAATTTAAAAATTTTAATAAATACAAAATACATACAAAAACGTATTAAATTTGTATATTTGTTAATATTTAGTGATTTTTGAACGATTTTTTTTCATAAATTTTATATGGTTTAGGTTTATTTAGATTGAGTGTATCTAAAACTTAAAAAATATTGATTAAAATACTTAAAAAGTTCACTAAAAATAATAAAATATAGATTGAAACTTAAAAACTATTTTTGAAAGCTCCAAAACAAAACATAGTTTTAAAAATTATTTCAAATTCGAAAACTAAATGACTTTTGGATTTTCAAATTTCTAAAAACTATTTTTAGAATATACA